GACGTGTGAGTAGAATTTTACGATATTAAAAAGGTGTATTAGAATATAAGCATTGGTATAATTTTAAAATTTTATTATATAGCGTTCATATACATTTTATTTTTTATAATGCTCCATTCTTTGATCAATAAAAATTATAACAGCAATAAAATCCTCTTCACTATCCTACATCTAACAGTAGACGTTACCTACCAAATGGTATTCATTAATCATGCATCAAAACTAATATTTAACCTTGACCCCTAAAGCTTCCAATACTGAAAGGAAATTTTAGGTGACGTCAGTTTGACATCTAAGCGATACCGAACAGTATCGATATTTTTTACTCGTTAGGTTGTTATGATCAGTATTTAGAATATTCCCTACATTGGGAATAAGGGTTATCATAAAATTGTGCATGTTAGATGTATATAGACATTATATTTCAGTGTTCTAGTGAGAGAAGCCAAGACAACGTATTTGTTAACCACTGTCTGGCGGCTAGAACTAGGTTACGGTTAAGTTTGGTAACGAGAGCAGCCGTTGTATTATTGAACCGTTTTTTTTTTTGTTGATTACAAACTGACCTATTATAAAATGCTAATAGTTGACGATGGTAAGAAATAGGCCTAAGTTATCATGCACCATAAGGGCAGCTATATTAAAGATCTGCTTCATTTTATTGAGTGTCCAAAAGGCAAGTTCTCTCATTGTCCGTAATATAGATTACCATCAGCTGATAACATAAGTGTAGTTGGAAATTACGTTTTTATGGTGAGACGTATAGACAATAGATGTGTACTATTATGGCACGCATTGCCAATATTAACATGCAATAGTTATCTGCCGTGAAAGAAACTATAACACTCAAGGGGCGCAATCCATAAATCTTGAACAAATTTTGCGTTACAAAAAAGAACGATTCGAATGCCATAACAACATTTTTTTTAATAATCTTCAACTACTAAAATTGTATTATAATACATGTTTTGCCGATTAAGATCCAAGTTCTAATTTTCAAATTTTATTTTCGTTTAAATTGACAGCCTTTAACTAAATTAATCGAGTACTTTATTCACATGGGATTGCTTCGTTTAAACATCGATACCAGGCACCTTCCAATCGAACGAAATCATATACCTCTGTTTATTACATGTTCTTTATGTCCTTAGATGTAAACCATTACATCATAAACTATTATTTTACCAGTATATATATTATATATATATATATATATATATATATATATATATATATATATATATATATATATTGTAATGTTATCAACACTGGCCATAAGTAAACGCCACAGCCAATTCATATTGCATATGTTATAATATTTTATCCTAATATATAAAAGCCCATGTGCGCACTTAATTATGCAACAGGAAACGTATTTATAGTTGTGAAAAAGAACCCATGAAACAATGACGTCACTAATGTTTATACATTTGATTTAGATCTACGTACGCTATGAAATGTATACAATACAATACAATTAGAAATCTTTATTTGTTTAGCTATGGAACTGGCTAATTTGGGATAAAAATATTAATTTGAAAGAATACACATATAAGCGTAAGTTAAGCTTTTCAAATACGTCTTTCATTCTTCCGATTTGATACTATAAAGAAAGTAACTACTTCATTCAAATTTGATCTAGATCTATAGATCTACTCATCAAGACGTACGCTATGACATATATACAATTTTATCGGTCAAACTAATACACATTTCTTAAAAACAACATAATGGCAATTGAATGGCTAGATTTTTAACCAAATCATTTAAGTCACTTAATCAGTGCGTGCCTGTATAATGTTAAATGCGTCGGATATTTAGCTAATTAGTTATTTCTTTGCTTTGTCACTAATATCGTTCGGCGTGTAGTAAAGCACATTGCGTTTTAACGAAAAACTATTTCATAAATTATTTTCTCAAACAAGTACAACATTTTAAAATATACAGGCCTATAATTCACGTGAAACGGGTACCGATGGCTAGTATATATATAATAAAAGTATTAACATCAAAATAAAAAAAGTAATTCATCTTAAATATTTTGATAATTTGCTAAAAAGAAGAAATTGTGTTATAAATGAATGAAAATAAAAATAAAAAATAGGTGTTATTAAAATATTCTATTATATATATATATACATATATATATATATATATATATTATATATATATATATATATATATATATATATATATATATATATATATATATATATATATATATATATATATATATATATATATATGTATATATATATATATATATATATATATATATATATATATATATATATATATATATATATATATATATATGTGTATATATATATATATATACATATATATATATATATACATATAGATTTATATATATATATATATATATATATATATATATATATATATATATATATATATATATATATATATATATATATATATATATATATATATATATATATATATATATATGTATATATATATATAATTATAAAGTAATTAGCTAATAAGAAATAATTTCTTAAAATTCACAGTTCTCATTCCTCTTTAAACATTTTACATTTTGTTTAAATATACAACGTTTAACTATATAAAGTACATACTTTCTTGACATGGAATAGTTTCATTAAATCAATATTTCTATTTGAATATTTGATCAAAACGATTTATTACTGTTTAACTAAGTAGGCTACATTAATTATAAATTATGTTCTACCAAGAATAACAAGAACAATATATGTCTAAGTGTGGTCTTCAGATCTGCGTCATATTGTTGTTTTCTATGACTGGGGTGTAAAGGGACCAGTGTTTAGATCGCGCATGATTGTACAGGGGACATTCGTGGAGGACGTGCTCTGTATTCTCCGGGCCATGTCACAAGAGCAAAGAGCAAGTTTTCCAACTTTTAGTTTTTTAAACGTGTGATGTAACAGTGTGTTACTGCCTGTTTGGAAGCTAAATATAGCATTACTTTGTTCTTTGCGGCTTAAATTGGGAAGCCCATCATCTTTTGTATAATTTGAGAGCATTGTTAGATGACATTTGAGATTGTTTGATTTTTTTTATTTAAAAAAAAATGTGGATGTATCGAAATTGTTTTACCCTCTCCCATTTTTGCCAGCCATTCAGCAAACTCATTCCCATGTGTCTGTGCGTGTTCGCGATCAACTACAACACAATCATGATGCAAATATTGTTTATCATTTCTAGAGCTGTCCTGAGTGACTATGTTTATGATACTAGATTTCTTAGAGATTACAGTTCAGAGGAATACAATGTCATACCTTGGTTTTTTTTTTGTGTGCTTGTCTTGTTGTTAGGTACAGTACTTGGATTAGTATGTCTAATTGAAAATGCATTAGAGAAAAGATTTGTTTATCGTCGTCGCAAAAACCTTTTTACTTTCTCGTATATAAGAAGTATAGAGAAAGTCTTGTAATCGTGCAAACAAAACAAAAAAAATAGAGATTTTTGCAAATCTCGACGTTTTACATTTCCCTGAGTCGGAAAAACATAGTTTTGCAATATTTTCAGTATGTCTGTGTGTGTGTGGAAGGGGGGGGGGGGGGTATTTTGTTTGGTGGGGTAAGCGGGAGAGGGGAAACTTGTCTGGTGAACGAGGTCACTTTGTAGAAACACAAACAAGCTTTTGTCATCTCTTCGACCTCTTAAAGCAGTGGTTCCCAAACTTTTTCGAGTTGCGACCCCTTTTATAAAAAAAATAAGTGACCCGCGACCCCCATATAATTAAAAAGTCGAAATTAGTGAGGGAACTAATAAGCACTAAAATATGATTTTCTAGTAGACATTCAATATTTTCTGACTAGGATTCAAAGGAGGCAGAATTAGTGAGACTGTATCAAAACTCATTTAAAGCAAACGAGCCGACCCGCGGCGTATCATACGCCGCTATTTAGTGTTTTTTTTCAACTTTTCAGTAATTCATAATTTGTGAATTTGACGTTACCAATGCTGAAACTGAAAATATTTGCTTTAAAACACTAAAACCCTCCTTTCCCCCAACCCCTGCTCACCCCCTCGTGAAAGCAGCCTCTACTTAGTTACCTCCCCTAAGTTTAAAATAGTTTCAAACTAAATTATCTGCCCCTAGTAGCCGTCACTAAACCCGTCTCTACGGTTTGTAAACATTTAACGTGAACCACAGCTCACCAGACCATTTGGGGGGGGGGGGGGTAGCAATAGAGAGGAAGAGAGGGAACTGCAAGGCGCGCTTGCAGCTTGTTTTCTAACGTCTCCCAGAAGAGAATTATATATACAGATTTGGCCTGTTGCCCAGATGAACAAGACTTGATGCCTAGAAGAAACTCTGGCCCTCGAACTGATATCTGATAGTTAATGCGGCCCTCGGGGTGGAGAGTTTGGAGACCCTTGTGCTAGACTGTTAACCGGAAAGTCCCGATGTTCTAGTCCGGTTTCAAGTCAGCAGAATGTCCAAGAGTCCACCCACAAAATAAAGGCGGCTCGGATAAGTGCTGACAACATTATCCCTTCATATGCAATATATCTAAAACATGTGAATTCTGCTGCATCTGTCCCATGTGTTATGGGCACAAACATGTTGATTATAGAGAAATATTATTTAAAAGGAGTCACGTAAGGTATGCATTATAATACATTCAGCAACTTAAAACAAGACGTATAATAATTAGACCGGCACAACATGCGAGCACTACTTTGACTATGTGTCTAATAAAACAGGACAACAGCGTAGTACCACCACAGCAGGACATTCACTTCTTACATCGAAGCTACTTGCAGATACTCATGCGGTATTAACACCAAAATAACCAAGGTAAATATGACACAACATGTTTGTAAGGAATAGACGTCCTTGGTAAGAAATGAAAATAATGATAGTAAATAAATGTAATCAAAACTTGATTTATTTGTGTTTACAAATTTTAATGTTTTAATCAAATATTAAGTTTTTTAAAGATGTTTTTGCTGTAGCGTTGATTGTTTTCATCTAATTTTCATGCTCTTGTGTCTATTGAAATTTTAAGCTTTGATGGTTAGAGCTTTGATGGTTTCCTTATAGCTCACTATTAGATATCGCTAGTAGATAAGACTTCCTGGTGTTTCGTTGCATTTAAGCAAGGAACAAGAAAATTATTCACCTAAAATTTAAAAAGTAATCATAAATAATAAATTATTTAAACGTGTATTTTGAGTTAGAAGATTAAACGTAAAAGCAGCACGATACACAATTATTTACTACCTTAAACCTAAATTGGCTAAAATATATAATATGAGCCGGTATGACAGTTTCAATAGATGTTTCCTATCAATCATCTCTTATCATTATAGTATATTTCAAATAATTCACTATTTAATCGACATTGGCTAAATAAAGTACGAAAATGGCAACCTTGTTTGCATCGCACTGTCTTATTAAAAATAAGGTTTTGTAGTTTAGTATGCATTGATTTACATTTCTGCATTTATTGAAAGTTTTGATTTTATATTGCATTCAAGCTTATATCAATAGAAAACAATTATATATATATATATATATATATATATATATATATATATATATATATATATATATATATATATATATATATATATATATATAAATATATATATATATATATATATATATATATATATATAGAGTATAGTTTGTTTTAAAACACATATTCTCAAGAAAAATGAGTTTTAGAAAACGGTGCAAAATATTATGTTCAAACATTCATAAAATTAGATATAAGTTACCACTATAATTAATGCATCAGAGCTAAGGATTTGATAGCTAAAAACAGCAATGAAAAGGATTTTTTATCTAGCACTTTAAATACACCATATTAGGTTAGTTTACTTATGTGTATTTTAGTTCTGTAGCAACTGTATCCAAGGTTTATGCTTTGTTGTGTATCTATTTTAGAATAGATTGTAGATAGTCTAAAATTCATTTGTGTTATTTATTCTTAGTTTCGTAAATTTTTTTGTTTGGTCATTTGTATTATTTATTGAGTAACGCACTGTATAACCCGTAATATTCAATACGTCAATGACAGCTCATACTCTAGATTATGCACTTAAAATTCTTTAAAATAAAATAGGGCACTATTCTTTAAAAGGTGTTGATTATCAAAAAGAAATCGTATATTACCTCTATAAAATTGTAGCAGAGTCCATGAGAAAATCAGCAACCCGAAGATTTGGCTCTCGGTAACTATCTTGAGTGAGCTCCCGTTTTTGGTGTATAGCATGGCTTTAATACCTGAAGCTATACACAGGGAGATACATTTAGTTCACATGAAAAAGATGCATTAAACATTTTAATATAATAAGAAGAATATCACATGAAGTTTTCCGGCTAGACTTTGCTTCAGCCATTTAAAGCCATGTCTAAATATAATTGTTCATGTTGTTTTCCACTATATCACACAATCAATTTTAATTTGTATTTATTTTCTTAAACCTAACGATAGACTAAAATATAAATGGAAGCGAATGTTTAATTGTGAAAAATGATTTTCGTTTGTTTATCTCTCAACAGATTGAGGGTTTTTAGTGATATTTTCAGAGTCCGGTAATATGCTTTTTTTCTATATGCATCTGCACTCTTAAATATAATCATACATAATAAAGTAGTATTGGATTATAATATTTCAATTTACAGGCAGCATAGCACGCTCTTATCTAAGGGTCAGCGAAATACTGTAAACTTACGTTAGAAATAGCTTATATTAAGCCATTTGTTTCTTTAATATCGGTCTAATAATACTGAATAACATATTGGAGAGACGCTTCTCACCTGATAAATAATGACACCTGGAAGTTAAATGTTTGGCATCAGTAAGTTTGTCAAAGTAAGTTACACTGCAACAGTACCAGCCAACGTCTTCGGTATTTAGTTCCCAAATTGCCAAAAGGAGTCGCACTTTATCTTTGTCCATTCTCTTGTTAGGCTTAACGTCTTTATAATATCGGGACACAGCCCATCTATCTTTTATACGAGGTTTGATCAGAAATACTGATGGTTGCTGTGGTAAAAAATGTATTGGATTTAAATTAACTAAAATGTTTATAACTATATTGGTGGTTATGTGCTTAAAGTAGATAGATGTTGATGTAATGATGCAGAGGCGTATAGCATTTTTCAGGCTAGTTGGAGCGACAAGCCGAGAAAAGGCTTATATATATATATATATATATATATATATATATATATATATATATATATATATATATATATATATATATATATATACGTTTGTTTTAGCTGTAAAAACTGCTTCGCTAAGGTAAGACATTTATTCAAACATTACTGTGTGGTAAACAAAACAACAAAACACAAAATGTAACACAAAATATACACACAACACAACCAAAAACAAGACACGCAACAGAATATTTTTTGTAGTTAGCGTAAAAAAATCATTTGACGCATTACAATATAAATTAAGACAAGCGAATTACAGTTGAGGAAATAATCACTTTCGTAATAAAGATGTGTCTACACATTTAGTTATAATTGTCAATTTCAAGCCATAAAAATAGTTACTATATTATTTAATATTATTAGTCTTTGATTTCACAATTAAATATTGTCTAAAATACAATCAGAATCAAATATATTTCTTTATAAATGCTAAAACATCACAGCATAAATTTTAGAAATGTTTCACTTATTCTCAATCTAAAAGTTGGAAAATTCTGAGCAGTGGCGTAGCGAGGTCGGGTGTCACCCGGTGCGCAATTAATGGTGTCACCCCCAAGAGTCGTAGCGACCCTTCCTGGGGACAAACTTTCAAATTTTTGATTTGCACCCTTCCCCCCTCAAATTTTTCTCTTTATATTTTGCTATTTTTTGTTTGTTTTTTGCCTTGGTGTCAACCCCCCTAAATGGTGTCACCCGGTGCGATCCGCACTCCCCCCTAGCTACGCCTCTGATTCTGAGTGATAGTCCACAGTATGTGTGTGTATGTGTGTGTGTGTGTTTCTGTAAACACGTTAAATTGAGTACCATTACAGCCTGTTTGTTGAAATTTCAAATATAAGTATTATATCAAAATCGTAGACCGGTATCAACTTTTGAGCGATTCCGATAATCGGAATTGGGACGTTTTGTACTTTGAATTTTTCAAAAGCCTATAACTTGAGTGCTGTTTCTGATAGATAAATAAAATGTCACATGTAAGTAAAAGATCTAATTTTCTGCCTTCTATCAGATTTTGAATAATGTCCGTTGACCGGAAATAGCAATTTTCGCTATTTCCGATTTTTAAAAAAAAACGCATGTGCATTTATAAAATTAAAAAAACGGGAGTGATCTCCCCTAAACTTTCTCAAATATTCTTATATAACACTACGTGGGATGGCAACTCGGAATATAGACGTGGTTTTTAATTACTTAAACTTTTAAATATAGAATAGAATCCTGTAGAAAAAAGAATAGCGCACCAAGCGAACGCCAAAACAACATGTGCATAATAGTGCCGAATATTATTAGTACTTTATAAATTGACATGCGTTTTTTGAGAAATCGGTAATAGCGTAAATTACTACTTCCGGTCAACGGAAATGACTCAAAATTCGATAGAAGGTAAATAATTAGATATTTTACTTACATTTGACATTTTATTTATCTATCTGAAATAGTACTCAACAGCTATTTTATGGTACTAACCCTTCGAACATCAGATTTTTTTTTGCAGGCACCTAGATAAATGGTTTGGCCGTTTAGGAAAACTGTGGGTTTGACTAAAGGCGTTCGACGAGGGCTAAAAAGTGAGCTTTATTACGAAACAAACTTCCCCGACGACCCCCATTGAAATTTTGTGAGGTGGTAGGAGATCGCCTGGGGTGTCATAAAAACTCGCCATGTCCGGGAAAAATCTGGAAACGGGTCAAAACTGACCAGTCGTATTTCCCAATATAATCTTTGTATTTTATGGGAAAAACAGTAGTTAATTTGAAGAACGATTTTATGGTACCCTCCGTACATCAGATTTTTTTTTGCAGGCACCTAGATAAATGCGTTGGCCGTTTAAGAAAACTGTCGGTAAAAAGTGACCGCGAGTGAAAATTTCTTTATATTACGAAACAAACTTTTGCCGAACGACCCTCCCCCCCCCTTGATATTTTGGTAGAAGAAAGCCTAAGGGTGTCAGAAAAAACTGGTCAAAACCTGACCAGTCGTATTTCACTATATACTCTATGTGTTTTATTTGATAAACAGGGTAATTTCAACACAAAGTTTAGGGTAAGAACCTTTTTATATATGTCTAATTTTTTGCATGCGTCTCTATAGATGACTAGACCGTATGGAAAAAACTTTGGTCAGACTCAAAGCCCTCAGCGAGGACTTTAAAATGACCGCTAGTGAAATTCTCTTTATATGAGAAATATACATAAATAAATTGACGAACGGTCTCCCTAATATTTTGTGAGACCGTGCACAAACCCCGGAGGATAACAAAAAAAAACCCATTATTCTCGCCAAAAAAAACCCATTAGGGTCGTTAGTTTTGTACAGATGACATATTTTCTTATAAACAATTGTTTGTGAAAAAGTAAACAAAGGCATACGTCTATCGTTCAATTTCAAGGGGGGAGGTAACTTTTTTAAAACAATTATTTTTCAAACAATTGTAAACTATTTTAAACATAAACAGAAACTAACGAAGTATTGCGTTTGTTTCAGTAAAAAATTAAGTTGTTAATTAAGGTACGTATCCTAATTAAATAAATTTATTTATTTTAAAAGTCAATGTTAATATTAATTATGAGATATACTGTTCTGTAGTTCTAATTCCATTATAGTCATACATTGCAAACCTTCCAACATTTTCTCTGAAAACGGACTTTAAATAACAAACAACAACAACATTTTCTCTAAAATTAGCATTACTGTTTAAATATAAGCACTCCACACCTCAACCATCAATAAATAATTAGTATTCAAATTCTCAAATGTTTTTGAAAACCTAAGCGAAGCTAGGTAGTATGTCTAGTCAAAGATAAGCGAAACTGTATTCTACGGGGGACACATTAACGTAAACAATTACCCTGTGTTTCTAGACTGATCTTAAAAGCCAAAGTTAATGAGCCTCTCGTATAAAAAAGGAAGGCTGAAATGGGCCTGGTAACTCAAGCATAGTTTACACTTGTGAATTAGATCGATAGGTGAGTGGTTGGCTGTCTATGTCCAGAAAGAAATAAACGAACTGCAGTTGTACAGCACTAAAGTGGACAGTACATGCTTGGTGCTGATATAAGCGACGATAAGTAATATAAGACATAGACTACAAATCTACTTGAGATGTGTTGTTTTAAATGTGTCATTTAGGGTACATAATATAACAATTTTCAATTCGTTGTTTCGGTAATGGGTTTGCTGTTTTGTGTTTGTTGCGGAACTTGTTTTAAAGTTAATTTTATTATTCTATTCTCTGTTAAAGGCGCGACTATCCTAAAAATGATTTTAGAGCGACATGCAGCTCATCCTTGCCAAGCTTTTACTCCTTTTCATACTTTTTTTGTGTGGTGAAAACGAATGTGGGAAAGGAAGTCACTGGACGCAGACGTCCAGGAAAACATGTTGTTCGGCGGTGCGCTAGAGCACGTTTATACACGGTCATTTGTTTCGTAAAGCCATTTGATAAAGCGTTACTTTTTTGTTTCCATTTCATTTGTGTAGGTGATTTGTTCGTGTTTGTGATTTGCGTTGTGTTTGCGTTTTGTTTGAATTTGCGTTTGCTTTCTTTTTTGCTTGTATTTGTGTTTCCATTTGTCGTCTGTATTTACGTGTTTGTTTCTTCTTTCGTGTTTGCGTTTGTGTTGGGTTTGTGTTTTCTTTTGTGTTTGTATTCGTCTTTGCGCTTGTGAATGCGTGTTCTGTATTACGTTTGCGTTAGGTTTGTGTTTATTTTTGCGTTTTGGTGTTTGTTTGCGTTTGTTTTCATTTGTATTTGTGTTGTGTTTTTTCCGTCGGTACATTTTAAAAATATTCACCTTTGCGAAGCACGGATATGCAGCAAGCTTTAATATATCAGATAAGGGGTCATCCATTTATGACGTCCATACGGGGGGGGGGGGGGACGCGTATTGACAGGGGGAGGGAGGTAGTTGGCCCAATGTGGACGTCCACACATTTAATCTAACATTATTTTTGGTAGTGTGAAAGAAAAATATTTCCTTGCGAAGCTAACGTTCATCTGTCCTATCTCTCTGGCCCACCACCCAGCTTGGGTCTATGCCCTGGCTTAACCTCGAATACAATAGGATCCAATTACGTGTTTCCCCACATTTGCATCCCAGGTCAAATACCAGGCGACCTGCATTGCCCCTAGCCTGAACTTCTCTAGATAGGCGGGGTCATCCCAGTTCAGTTGTGAGGCGGGAGAGGGGTGGAGTGGGGCACGCTGTCCCTGTTCAGGTGTGGGACAGGAAGGGGGTGGGTTAATACACACTAGCATCAACGTTGAACTCAGTAATATAACAGTGTCAATGCGACTAAAAATGTGCGAAATAATGGCTAGTCAAAACACCGCGAAATATGCTAAATTCATTGATTTGTATCAAAAGGCTTATCCTTCCAAATTAAAATATCAACTTTTTATTGTAAATCTAGACACGAAAATCAATAAAACATATTTGTACCGGTATGTGTAATATTATATACATTAAGAGTATATACACACTTAATGCAGTAGTTTGAGTAATAGTGGAAGAAGATTATGCAAACACTTATAGTCAGTGTTGACGTCCATGGGGGGGGGGGGGGGTCCGTCAAAAGTGACGTTTGTGGAAGGGGGAGGGGGGGGGGGGTCCAAAATCGCAAAACTGTGTGCACGTCATAAATGGATGACCCCTAAGCAGGAGTATTGCCGGACTGCAGTATGTTTACAATGTTGTTTGCTTAAGAAATAATAAAGTTGTTGATGAAAAGGGGAAAAGGTGATAGATTATCAAGGCATGTCAAACCATTAGGTTATAAAACAAAATACAAAAATATTTTTAAAAAATAAACTTTATCAATTGGAGCATACTGGAAACGTTAAAAAAAGGTAAAAAAGTATACTAGAAACAACTTTTAGATACTAGATACTATTTTATCAAACACGTTTTTTAGGTAAAGCTTAAATTATAATCTGTATTAATACCGACTTTTAAATGTTTTTTTTTTAACATACACTTACTTTATAACTATTCCAATATGATCTCAATGTATACAAAAAATAGGAGTTCGGATCAAAGTCTTTATTTTGCCAAAACATCGTCAAGTTTTCAACCTCTGTTGCTGTATCAGGAATTCCCGCGAGATTAGGGGTACAATGAATCCATTTAAAGGTTAGTTCTTCCAAAAAATCGCTTGGTTCAACTATAGAGTGATTTGTAACTGTAATTTTTTTGAAAAGGAGAAGACAATGAACCTAAGTTTACACTCATCAAAACATAACAACATTACAAATATAAATTTAATATATATATATATATATATATATATATATATATATATATATATATTTATATATATATATATATATATATATATATCTATCTATCTATCTATCTATCTATCTATCTATCTATCTATCTATCTATCTATCTATCTATCTATCTATCTATCTATATATATATATATATATATATATATATATATATATATATATATATATATATATATAATGTGTTTGTATGTATGCATGTATATTAATGTACTTCGTTTTTCAATTTAAAAAAAATCACTCCGAATTAGACAAGAAAAGCTAGTAAGTACATTTTTTAGGTAAAGCAAGAAACATTTATGAATTTTCTTCAGTTGTAGTTTCCTTTAAAGGAAATATTATATGTTCAAAAACATTGATACTATTAAAGGAGAAAATGGAATAACCTAATAAAAATATATACCAATATATTACGTATTATTTTAAATTTCATTGTTTTTTCTTCTTTTTTTTAAATTAGGTTTTTCTGTAAATTGAAATTTAAAAGAATAAGTAACAATATTTTAAAAATAAGAATATTGATAGTAACAAAATGTGCCTTAATAAAATAAACCAACCTATAAAGTCCTCACAACGTTCTGAGGGCCGTTGTATTTCTCCGTTCTGGATGATGTAGCTAGAGCAGCAAAACTCGCCTTGGTCATCGAGGGTGATATTTATCATATCGATTTCCAGCCTGACTTTGTCCCTATCAAAAAGTCCAAAACTGTTCTTGGGATAGTGTCCAGAAACATTAGTTCGCCAGTGAGTGTTTACACCAATAGTTCTGTTAGTACCGAACTATACAAAGATAAAAAAATAACAACGTACAATGATAAATATAAATGACCAAACATAGTTCGACAATTAAATATCTTATTTTATGTGTGCTGCTCCGTTAGTTTTGATAACTTGCTAACGTATTACAACAAACATAAACTTACACACACACACATACACACATACACACACACACACACATACATACATATATATATATATATATATATATATATATATATATATATATATATATATATATATAATTTTATATTTACATTTATGTTCATATTTTGTTCTTCTTTTTGTTAGTAATATTCAAGTATTTGCTATTTAACAAGTCATATCGATTTTAATTTCAAGACCAATTAAGTACCAAATGTATTTTCAAATACGAGCTTCCAGTCTACCTAAATTACCTTGGTACTGAACTCGTAAAAGAATTGTTTATTCCAACACAGCTCCAACGCAAAAATGCCTTCAGGGCTGCCATTTTCAGGGACACCGGCAAGATCAGAATCACAGAAAACAGTAACTTCTGAACCTAGCTTTACTTCTTTTGGTACTATTGATTTATGCAGTACTGAAATAAAATTACTTAAAGCTTTAATTGAGCATATAATAATGATTTTCTTTTCTCGAAATGGCCAGCCCAAAAAAATAAAAAATAAAAAATAAAAACATCAATAATTGAATTTAAGCGGTGCATTGAAATGAGATGTGCACCCTGTTGCTGTTGCATATATATAGCAGGAATCCCGTCCTGCGCGCCAAAGCGGTCTCATAATTTGAAACATTCGAGGAAACAAGTTATGATAATATTAAATTTGTATTTGATTTGAAAGAAATAACTCATGTATAAATGAAAATATGATACAATTCAATGTAGCTACTTTTGTATTTATATACATTTATGATTATTAATGGTGTATTTTGGTACTGGTGATCTCATTTTCTGATTAGATCTTTTAAATCGAAAGGAAGATTACGTCATTCTCAGAGTGACGAAACTATGCAGGATTGAATCTTAACACGTTAAAAATATTATTTGATGTTTTATAAACGCCATAGTCAATGATCCAACTGGTTGTCTTGTTAGCTTAGGTAGTATCTTTAGATGCTGGATCTCAATATCCGATTGGATTATCAGTATATTCAGATTACGTCATTCGCAAGGTGACGCAACTGTAAAGAAGGGTATTTAAGTTTTTAAATGGTGGCTTTTTAAATCTTAAAGAGCGTTATTCATTGTAAACTATGTTGGTGATATCTGTTTTAAATTTTAGTAGACCTCCGATTTTTTTTTGTGTGGAAAATTTCCTGGGAGTATTCTCATTATTTTGTTGACAACTGTAGGCATTTTGTAACAGATATGTAATGGACAATGCGAAACAACCAATTAAATACTATTGGCAAAATAATCTAAACATTGTAAATTCTTCTGATTATTGAAAAATCAATTTTCCTTTTTTTTAATTATACAGCCCTTATCAGACCTAGTGAGTACTTGTGCGCCGAAAATGAAATTTGTTTTCGCAGAAAGCAAATCCCGGGAGTACTCTAATCACCTCCCTGAAGTATTTGACGATTGGATGAAAGGTGAAGTAATGAATAATTAATAAACAAATCCACAAACCAACAAACCCACATACTCATAAACTTAGAAACAAAGAAACCTACAACCATACTTATATATATGGATAGAGAGAGAGAGAGAGAGAGAGAGCGAGAAGGAGAGAGAGAGAGAGAGAGAGCTAGTGATAACCAAAGCGACAATAATATTATCTCTCAATAAAATGTGTTTTCCAATCTCATAAATATACAATTTTTAAAGGTTTGACTTTATCGTTAAGACCCCGAATAGAAAATGTAGACTCATATGACATAACATTTAAAATTCATCAAATATGCGAGAAGTGGAACATGGGTAGTAAGAATTGAGTCGTTCAGGAAATGTGTAACAGTCATGGTTCATGGAAGATTATGACCACACAAATATCTGAACAATTAAAAACCAACCAACAAATACAATTCTTCCATTAAAATGAAAACTGAATGTGAGATACTGAACGGCTGTTGTAAGAATTGGGACATTTTATTCCAACTCTCACCGAAGTAGTTAGTGAAACAATTGCAAATTTAAAACAATATTTTAAAAACACGAATAGATAGTTACGCAATTAACCCTAAAAATGTCGACTCTATTCAAATGATTGTGAAGATACAAAATAAGGTTTTATGGAAATCTCTGTACTGCTTTAACTCACAAACTGCTGGCGCGGGACGAACCATATTGACAAAGTTTATTTTTTTTTTTGCTTTATTTTATGCTGGAACATGGAAGTTTTGGTCCAAAATTAACGAAATAATTCATTGTTCAAAATTTTACTTTATCACACTTTTTACGACTCTCCTCAATGTGAATCAGATAACGTAAATATGTATAGATTAGAACTAAAATAAAGTAAATTATCATAAATTAGCTTAAAAAGTCTATATAATCATACTAAATGAACTTAATAGAAGTATGTATGTTCAATAAAGTTATCTAGGTTTAGTAAGGCTACATTTTGAAATTGTAAAAAATAGATTTTTGTTTAATAATAGGTTACAGAATTGTACCATTGAATAATATACAAAATTTAAGTTTAATATGCTCTAGTACAGTAGTAGTATTATAGTATTTTTAACCCTCTTAGTATAAGAATAATATAAATAACAGAATCAAAAAGTAATTGTAAAGAGCTGATTTTTTTTATCTCATTAGTTATCGTAATATATTATTTTGTATAATCTTTGATCTTTTTACTCATGAAATACAGGATATTAGTTAATAGTCCCTAGAGCCAAAAAATGTCAATAGTCGTAGATGTTTTACACTTCGAACACTTGCCCGAATGCGACAAACGCTCCAATGGACACTTGCCCGAATGCGAACGCTTAGCATTTTTAAACAGTCGTGTTTTGAAACTGGATTTAAGCTTTTCGTCGTTATTTAAACGTATGCTATAAATTTTTATAAAATAATTTTTAAATTAACTTACATTAATTGTTGTAAGAGCACATTAGGCTAAAATATTTTTTAAAAAATCGCTATTTAAAAAAAAAGATCAATATATATGGGATTGAGGGTTGTGGTTGGATTAGGTTATTTTTATGTTTGACAGATCTGGCTTTTTTGTAGAAGTTGAATGGGGGAGGGGGGGTGAGAGAAAAAACTTGACATAATTTATAGACCAACCCCATTAAAAATAGGTTGAAAATATCCGATCTGGATTGCTTAGACATATTCAAACAGTATTGTAAGTGTTGATACTAATTAGCCTTTAATCATTATTTCGATGGGGTATAGCCTAGTAGTTTATTTATATAATATAATATAACACACCTGTCACTACAACACACTGACTTTATTCATCGAAATTAAAAATAAAAGTGTTCGTCTATCAACTATTATTTCGCTATTAAGAATTTGATTTAATTTATTTAGACTAAATAAAACTGGAAGTCATTTTGTACTTATTTCACTACTGTAAAATGTTCAATTTTTCTTGAAAAATGTACTTTCTGGTAACAAACATATGGAACTGATTGGATTTCGCGCATTTTTTGGCGAATATTATATTATTAATGTAATGCTTACATTAGTTAGATTTAATACTGTATAGAATGACTGTATTATTGGTTTATTGGACGTACAATAATACGTTTTCTAACTTAAGGTAGCGCTAGTTCTGTGTACCTTATCGCTAGTTTATAGCTCAACCTTGTAAAAGAGTTATAGACCTAAATTATGAGTTTACCTTGTGCTGATATGGACCAGACACCCAGGAATGCTAATGCTACCGTAATCAGAGCCATGTTTGCTTGTTCCCTATCTCTTTAATTTTATGATTAATTACGTTCTTTGATTTCCGTTTTTTATCTTGAAGTCGAAGACCCAATGCAAATGTTTTAAATGCGCACCAATTTTACGTGTAACAAAAAATGCACGCCTTTATTTAAAAACAAGCAATCAGTACCCGTTGCACGTAAATTGTATACTTATAACAGGTAGAAAAAGTCTATGTAATCATACTAAATTTAAAAAAAAAAAAATTTTAAACATATAGAAAGCGAAAAAATTATAGCTACATTTTCAAAAATTAAAGCCGTTTGGGAACCATCGATTACACTTTTTTTCATATTTTTGTATTGTACATAAGCCGTTAAAAATGATTTTAAATTATTGTATAAATTTAAATATTTAATAAAACGCCCTCAACCCCACCTTAAACTGAACTGTAGTGGCCAGGGAGATTAAAACGATGGAAGTCATAACATGTATTGTCCATGATAAATATGGACAAGGTGATACAAGAAAACAAAATGGCGAACAATGGAATATTTTCAGTTCGATTCAGGCTTTAAAAAATCGTTTGTATCCCTTTTCGTTACAGTTGTCGTATTTTTTAATGACTGTTATGCTCAGATTATCAATAACAATATTCTTACTAATTGTTACCATTTTTTTTTGTAGAATGTTTTTAAAGCACGTTTCATTATTTTTTTAGGCCTGTGACTACTCGCTGTGACACTACACTAGTGAGTTATATGAGTGCTCTAACTGCTAAGCTAGAGATCTAGATCTAGCTAGTTTCTAGTTCTAGATCTTATCTAGATCTAGAGTGTAGATTATCTAGAAATTTTTCGGGGGGATGGGCGTTTTCCTTTATATCATACAATCAATTTCCTTTTGCATTTTATTTTCTTATACCTAACGATAGACTAAAATATAAATGAAAACGAATGTTTAATTGTGAAAAATGATTTTCGTTTGTTTATCTCTCAACAGACTGAGGGTTTTTGGTGATATTTTCAGGGGCCGGTAATATGCTTTTTTTTCTATATGCATCTGCACTCTTAAATATAATCATACATAATAAGGTAGTATTGGATTATAATATTTCAATTTACAGGCAGCATAGCATTCTCTTATCTAAGATTCAGCGAGATAATGTAAAAACACATACGTTAAAAGTAGCTTATATTAAGCCATTTATTTCTTTCATATGGGTCTAACAATACGGAATAATATATTGGAGTCACGGCTTCTCACCTGATAAATAATGACACCTGTGGGCTAAACGTTTGGCATCAGCTTCGTCAAAGTAAGTAACACTGCAACAGTACCAGCCAATGTCTTCGGTATTTAGGCCCCAAATTACCAAAAGAAGTCGCGTTCCATCTTTGTCCATTCTCTTGGGGTCATCCATTTATGACGTCCACTAGCGGGGGGGGGGGGGGGGTCCGAAAAACTGACTTTTGCGAACGAGTATGGACTTATATAAGGAAAATAAGTGGATTTTCGTGGAGGGGAGGGGGGGGGGGGGTCAAAAATCCAAAAAATGTGTGGTCGTCGTAAATGGATGACCCCTTGTTGGGCTTCACGTGTTCATTATATATGGTCACGCTCCAGCAAATTTTTCCACTCGGTATGATCTTAGTCATCACTGGGTGCTGTACTCAAAAATGTATTGTATTTAAATTAACAGAACTTTTATAATCAAATTGGTGGGTATGTGCTTAAAGTATGTTGATGTAATGATGCCGATGCGTATACCAGTTTTCGGGCTACTGGGAGCGACAAGCCGAGAAAAGGCTCCATATATATATATATATATATATATATATATATATATATATATATATATATATATATATATATATATATATATATATATATATATATATATATATATATATATATATATATATATATATATATATATATATATATATATATATATATATATATATATATATATATATATTAGCTATATAAAACTGCTTCGCTAAGGTAAGATATTAAATATTGTCTACAATCTATATATATAATTCTCTTCTTGGAGACGTTAGAAAACACCAAGTTGTAAGCGAACCTAGCAGTCCCCTCTCTTCCTATATAGGCATATCGCAACCACCCCCACCCCCACATGGTGTGGTGAGCTGTGGTTCACACTAAATGTTTACAACCGTAGAGCCGGGTTAAATTACGGCTATTAGGGGCAGATTATTTAGTTTGAAACTATTTTAAACTTAGGGGAGGTAACTAAGAGGAGGCTGCTTTCACTGTGGGGGGGGGATAGGGTATGGGTTGAGGGAAAGAAGGGGTGGGGGGTTATCGTCCTTAACGACCTACTGACAGTGTTTTAAAGGAAATATTTTCAGTGGCAGCATTGGCACTGTCGAATTCACAAATTATTAATAACTGAAAAGTAGAAAATAAAACAACTAAATAGCGGTGTATGATACGCCGCGGGTCGGCTCGTCAAATATATTTCATTATAAATGCTAAGTCATCACAGTATAAAAAAATTGAGTGCGGAGTCGGTATAAAAAAAAATCTTTTAATGTTACACTTTTTCTAAAGCGAATAGACCTGCTGTTTCTCTTCCTGCTATCATTGACATATTAAAGACACACAAAATTATATTCTACGGGGCACATTTAAACCCAGAGACGTAGCGACCCTTCGCCCGTGGGACGAACTTTTCGATTTGCACACCCCCCTCAAGATTTCGATTTGCACCCCCCCCCCCCTCAAACTTTCGATTTCCACCCCCCCCCTCAAACTTTCGATTTGCACCCCCCTCAACCTTTCAATTTATTTTTCCAACCCATTTCGGCGCCCCCTAAGGTCGGCGCCCGGGGACATATGCCCCCCCCCCCCTCCTCCCCCCTAGCTACGCTACTGGTGTATCAATATACAATACCTAAGTGTACCATTATGGAGCTCAGGTTATCATAATAAGATGTAGTTATAATTATTATAATATCTCAGTGTATTATTATAGGGCTCAGTATATCATCATGATATTTAGTTATAATGGATAAAATATCATAGTGCATCTTTATAGAGCCCATCATAAGATGTAGTTATACGAGTTAGAATAGCCTAGTTTTTTATCACAGGTGAGATATGATTGGTTTATTTCGTAATATTTCTATCTTAAGTCCAGTCAAATAACGTGATGAACCAAGCCCAGTATACAGCTGTTGATGAAACAAAGCTGACCACCCTGCCGATCAATGTAGAGTTTGACCAAGTCAGTCTTTTGTCCTGCGCCTCACGTTGTTCAAGTTCCAACAAAACGTGCCTCAGCTACATCTACAACAAAACCACCAGACACTGTAGTTTGGGTGAGTTCAAATGCTTTCTTTATTATAAAACTATTCCTAACCCTAACCCTAACCCTGAGCCTAAGCCTAAGCCTAAGTTTAAGCCTAATCCTAACCCTAAACCTAACCCTAACCCTAACCCTAACCCTAACCCTAACCCTAACCCTAATCCCTAACCCTAACCCTAACCCTAACCCTAACCCTAACCCTAACCCTAACCCTAACCCTAATCCCTAACCCTAACCCTAACCCTAACCCTAACCCTAACCCTAACCCTAACCCTAACTCTAACCCTAACCCTAACCCTAACCTTAACCTTAACCCTGACCCTGACCATGTCCCTGACCCTAACCTAACCTAAAAGCCTATTAGAAAAAAAAATATTTTCTCACATCTGTAACAGTGTCGGCGATGTGTGTAAAGAGAAACATAGTATGTAGGTGCTATGCGGGAGGTACCTTGCGATTTCATGGTTTCTTATTCTGACAAGAGACTGTTATCCAAAGTATAGAACATAACGTTACTTTTTATAGTTTCCTATCGTTATGCTACAGATATGGAGTGGTGCATTATCCCAGGTCAATAACTAACAGGTCAACCAAATCCAGCTGTTATTGCTCTTGTAAGCAATCGTGTATGATTAAATAAGTAATAAAACGAATTAAATTTAAATTTATCATTATGAGCTTTTGAAAAAACACATTAAACAAGAAATAGAAAAACATCTTTTGTAAATGAATTGGTCGCGTATGGAATATGTTTTTAAATTATTTAATACATTATTTTTAAATAGTAGGTAAGGTTTAAAGTTAAATAAACGTAATACTTGCCTACATAAGAATATTTTTACAATTATATATATATATATATATATATATATATATATATATATATATTCATCTTTTGATTTTGGAAACAGGTTCCAGGTTAGTCCCAATGAAAGCCTCACAACAAAATGTTCAGGGGAAAATTTTCTCTGGTGGGAAGATTTGTAATACAACACGAGATATCACGGTCCTATCTAATGGTTCTATCTCGTATATCAACTTCTTGTTTTAATAACTAACCAATGGTTTTACTAACCCTGCTCTTGATTTACGCTACGACAGAGCTTTTTTTAGATAACATAAGGAAATTGCGCTAAAATTGTCACTAGACTTTTTAATTACCTTGTTTCTACGAGATTCCTTTCTCTGTTTAAACGTTTTATTAATTAATGGATTAAAAATCATATCTATATCGGAACGAGTTGTCATCCCGCGTAAGTTACATACAAATATTCGAGAAAGTTTAGGGGAGATCACTCCCGGTTTATTTTTTTAAAAAAATGGTATAGGTCTATTTGTTTGAGAGAAATTTTTTATAAAATTGTTATGGTCAATAGATAATGCGCTTTATTGTATATTCAAATAAATTAGTGACAAAGCAAAGAAATAGCTAAACAGCTAAAAACCAAACACATTTTATAAAACTTAGGCTATCAATACATATTAGAAAAAACGAAATTATATACATTACTAGCCGTGCCGGCAAGGCATTGCACTGGTCTCTGTGAAAATCCTATCTGTAAAGGGCAATGACATGTGTGTTTAGTAATCAGTATATAACCGGTATTGTCCACCCTAACAACAACCAACCAAAACCAAAACTCACCTTAAAAAAAAGCAAACAAAACACAAAACCAAACACAAACATAAACAAACAAAAAAACGAAAACAAACCAAATGCAAACACAAACTTAACAACGAATCTCAAACTTAACTCATGCACAAAGGAAACGCAAACATAAACGCAAAGTCTCACAGTCTAGCCCAGGGCGCGAAATCACACCATTGTGAGGCGCCGGCGGAACCGCCTGTTTCAGCTTAGTAAATGACTATAGTACCCCAATTTATTCATAGTCTTTTGCACTCACATAATCTATCGCACTGTTTTAAACGAATTTATACACCATAGTTGTGATGGCGTCTGAATCTCAAAGAAAGGACAACACGATTGAGGCTATTACAGTATTCTTTATCTCTCTATCTCCCGTGCCTACAGTCCCAAAAATCCATCTCCTGTCTTTGACACTCAACCTTCAACTGCCCTCCGCATTCATCCCTACACACCACCTTTCTCTCGCTCACAACACAGCCACTGTCACCCGACCAGTCGCTTCCCTTGTACCCTCGTTCACTCCGTACAACAACAGACACGTCAACACACCCGGCCTCGCGTCTCACTACATGATATATACACACACGCAGTAACCCGTTCCACGTATTAAACTTTCATACACATTACATCACAAATATTGTTTGTTTTTTATGTTTGTTAGGTTAGGTTAAGTTTGCCTGTCGTTGTAAAAAATCTCGAAATTTCCTTTATATTTTTCTCATTTGACATATTGTTTATTCTGATTAGAAATTAAAAATTTAATTTTATAATAACGTAATTCGATAATAAAAAGAGCGATACAAAAAGCATGTAATAGCGATCACTCTATCAGCCAAAGAAGTTGAACTCATTTGTTTAAGAATGATTGTTTTTTTTTTGCCTGAGTGGGGACAGTGGACCATATCTTTAATGTCGAATGTATCCTATCTTATAAAAATGTACATCGATTTGATCTAAAAAGTGGACATACTGCATTTGTCCTCTATACCCTCGTTATGCACTCTTACAGACCATGAATTTAAAGCCTGCGGTAGTTTTTAACTTTGGATTTATTTCAAACGCTTATTAGAATATGTCGCTAATTCGATAAAAATAAAATACTGGAAAAAATAATTAATAGAAATTAAAGAAATGGCATAGAAGGATAATTAGCCTTACTTTAAAAATCTTTAAAAAATGTATTCATGTCGTTATTCAGTTAGAGAGTAACATAGCTCTGCCGTCTCTTCTCATCGTATAGCGCTTACAAAAAAACCAATGTAATCTTTTAAGGCTGTACAATCACACCGAGTATGCAAACGTAAGGGTGCGGCCTGGTGTAGAGTAAAGTGCTAGACTGTTAACCCGAAAGTCTCGATGTTCTAGTCCGGTTTCAAGTCAGCAGGATGTTCCTGAATCCACCAAAAAAATAAACGCGGTTTGAAATAGTGCTGACAACATTATCCCTTCATATGCCAAGAAAACATCTGGATTCTGCTGCATCTGCCCCATGTGTTATGGACACAAACATGTTGATGAAACGTACGGTATGCATTATAATTCATTAAGCAATATAAAACAAGACGTAAAATAATTAGACCGGCACAACATGTTGAGCACCACGTTGACTGTATTTCTAATATTACAGGAAAAAAGCGTGGTACCACTACACAAAGACATTCACTTCTTACATCTTAAATAATGATAGTAACGAAAGTTAATCACAACTTGATTTATTTTCATTTACAAATTTTAATGCTTTAATCTAATATTAAGTTTTATTTTAAAATGTTATTTACGGTAGCGTTGATTGTTTTCAGCTAATTTGCATGATCTTGTGTCCAGTGAAATTCAAAGCTTTGATGGTTAGGGCTTTGATGGATTCCTTATAACACACTCCTGAGATATCGCTAGTAGATAAGTCTTCCAGGTGTTTAGTGGCAAGGAACAAGAAAATTATTCACCTAAAATTTAAAAAGTAATTATAAATAATACATAATTTAAACGTGTATTTTGAGTTAAAAGATTAAAGGTAAAAGAAGCATTATACACAATTATTTACTGCCTTAAACCTAAATTGGTTAAAATATATAATATAAGCCGCTAGGTAGTAAGTCTGTCTTTCCGTTTGCCATCGGTATGAACGTTTTGTAGTCTTTCTTATCCTAATTTTATATATTTCAAATAATTCACTACTTAATCGACAGTTGACTAAAAAAAGTACGATAATGTCATGCCTTATTATGAATTATTTGAAATATATACGATAAGGATAAGAAAGAAATATATATATGTATATATATATATATATATATATATATATATATATATATATATATATATATATATATATATATATATATATATATATATATATATATATTGATATATATATATATATAAAATAAATATTTCTATATATATAAAGCAAAGTGTTCGGGTGCCCAATAGGGGTGCCGTGGGAAAAAAACAACAAGAGACCCGGTGCCGGTTAGCAAAGTCCATGAAGTGGGGATGAAAACTGACCTCGGCTGACAGTCGCCTTATATGGGCTATATTTCGAAAAAAAAACTTTTACCAAACTCGCAATATTTGGGAAAACTTCATGAAGTTGTCAAAACTGACCAGTCGTATATCACTAAATAATCTTTCTATTTTAGGTGAAAAACAAAAGTTTATTTCAACACATTTTTACGGTACATATTCTCAGTAAATCTGGCAAATTTTGTGCAAGCTTCTAAAGAAATGGATAGGCCGTATAGAAAATGTGTCGGTTTGACTTAAAGCACTCGACAAGAGCTAAAAGATGACCACGAGTAAAATTCTCCTGAGGTTGATATATATATATATATATATATATATATATATATATATATATATATATATATATATATATATATATATATATATATATATATATATATATATATATATATATATATATATATATATATATATATGTATGTATATATATATATATTTATATATATGTTTATGTATATATAAATAAATAAATAAATATATATATATATATATATATATATATATATATATATATATATATATATATATATATATATATATATACATATATATATATATATGTATATACATATATATATATATATATATATATATATATATATATATATATATATATATATATATATATATATATATATATGTATGTTTACATGTAAATATATATATATATATATATATACATATATATATATATATATATATATATATATATATATATATATATATATGGCGAAAGTATAGTTTGTTTAGTCTTAGTGTCATAACCTTTTTTTGGTCCTCTGTCTCATTTGTTGAGCGACGCACTAAATAACACATAATATTCAATACTTCAATTACAGCTCATACTCTAAATTATGCAATTACAATTTTGTAAAGTAAAATAGTGCCCTATTCTTCAAAAAGTGTTGATTATAAAAAAAATATATATTACCCCTATAAATGTGTAGCTGAATCCATGAAAAAATCAGCAACCCGAAGATTAGATTTCCGTTAACTCTCTTGATTGAGCTCCCGTTTCTGGAGAGTTTTACGTCTTGAATACGTGAAGCTATACACACGGAAATACATTAAGCTCCCATTAAGAAGATTCATTAAACATTTTAATATAATAGAAAGAATACCACAAGAAAATGTAATCTTAGAAGAAAACAACGTAATGTAATATTTGTGTTTAATTAGAAAATAATACATACAAGTGCAAAAGTATATAATATAAAACTAGCCGTCAGCAGCTAAAGAATGCTTCAGCCATTTATAGCCATGTCTTAATATAATTTTTCAAAATGTTTCACACAATAAATTTCGTTTTGCATTTTATTTTCTTAAACCAAACGACAGACTAAAATATAAATGGAAGCAATTGTTTAATCCTGAAAAAAATGATTTTCGTTTGTTTACTTGGCATGTTATGGATTATTTATTTTTCTGCTTGTTCAAAAAGCTATTCATCTGCACTTTTAGAAGAAATCATACATAATAAGGTAGTGTTGCATAATAATATTTCGATTAATGTAAAATCACGTACGTTTAAAGTAGCTTGTATTAAGCCATTTGTTTCTTGAACATTGGTCTAATAATACGGAATAATATATTGGAGCGACGGCTTCTCACCTGATAAATAATGACACCTGTATGCTGACCGATTGACATCAGCTTTGTCAAAGTATTCTACACTGCAACAGAACCAGCCAACGTCTTGGTCTTTTAGACCAATGATTAGTATAGCAAGCTTTGTTCCATCTTTGCTCAATCTATTGTTGGGCTTCAAGGTTCGATCATGTGGTATCTTGCTCCAGTGATCTTTTCCAGCATGGTTGCTTATATATGCCAATGCGTCCTGTGCTCAGAAAATGTATTGGATTTAAATTAACTAAAATGTTCAAAATATGAAAAATATGTTTATAATATATATTATATATATATATATATATATATATATATATATATATATATATATATATATATATATATATATATATATATATATATATATATATATATATATAAATACATATAGCCATACAAAACACAACATATAATCACAAAACAACCGAAAAAAAAATAAAGCAACACAATATGCTTTGCAGTTAGCGTAAAAAAAAACTACTTGAAGCATTGGAATATTAATTAACAGTACAGTAAAACTACAGTAGGGGAAATGTTTTATATATATATATATATATATATATATATATATATATATATATATATATATATATATATATATATATATATATATATATATATATATATTTATATATATATATATATATATATATATATATATATATATATATATATATATATATATATATATATATATATATATAAATATATATATATATATATATATATATATATATATATATATATATATATATATATATATATATATATATTTATTTATTTATATATATACACTTGTTTGTAATTCTCAAATTCAAACAATATTAATAGTTACTTTACTATTTAGTATTATTAGTCTTCGTTTTTGCGAAAAAAAAAAATTGTCTTAAATCATGTAAATGCTAAAACATCACAGCATAAAAAAAAACCTTGGGCTTAGTCGGTATAAACAGCGCTTCTAATGCGTAACGTATTATGAACCTAATAAGTGGAACATTATGAGTAATAACCCACAGTAAGCTTAATTTCACTAAATTATTGCATTTTAAATCTTTAACTCTTTACATTTTTACTTTCTCGCATACACGAAGTATAGAGAAAGTCTTGAAATCGTGCAAAAAAAAATCGCGACGTTTTACAGCTCCATGAGTCGGAAAAACATAATTTTGGAATCTTGTCCGTATGTCTGTATTTGTGTGTACCGTTAAATCTAGGTTGATGAAGTTTTATATATAAGTATTTTTGCAAATTGTAGATCAGTACCAACGTTTGTGCGGTTTCTGATAAACGTATATGGATTTTTTTCTACTTTGAATTTTTCAAAAAGGTGAGGAACTCAGTGATCTAACACATATCTTTTTGTTATGATAATAAACAATGTTTAAAAAGTAAAAAAAAAAAACAATAGCTGTTTACTGTTAATTCTAAAGGCAATATTCACAGAGTTTAGTCTGTTTCAAAAAGCTATGGTTCAGGTTGTAAAATTCACAACTATAGGTATTACTTATTTGAAGCTTGCTTATTTAACGTTTGGTGGCAGTAATACTCTTATTCATAGTGCTTTAATATCGCTTTAGCTAAATTTACCCAAGTTGTTTTAGTATATGTTCGTTAAGTACATCTGTGCGTGCTGATTTTCAAGACGTATCTTAACCTTTTTGAAGTTGTGTGAGAATTTTTTTTTTTAGTTATTCCGTTTCCTCTCCGCCCCCCCGCCCCCCCCCCCCCCCCATTCCCACCTCATACAGCTGAGTAAAGATATTTAACATAATCAATTTATAAATAGGTGCATCTGTACAAGTAGGTAATGTTCTAGATAAGCTGACATACAAGGGACATACAGTTTCCCCTCCTGCTAATATTGACATATAAAAGATAAGCAAAATTGTATTTAACCCTTTATCTACTGACGGTACTTATAAGTACCACTTTAATTAAGTGCCTGTATTATTTTTAATTTAATACGAATTTTCTTATTGAAGTAATTAATAGTATTATCTCCCCTGAGTCGCCGGTAGTCGGAGGTATCAATGATTTTTGAAAATTACTGGTGTGGCGCCATTTTCAATGTCTTGCTATATCGGTAGTTCACAATTTTTCTGTACATTTCTCACACACGTTCTTGATCTCCCTTTGTTTTACCTTATTTTTCAAGTTTTCAACCCCAAATATTTTTTATTGGCACCTTCAATAGTCAAGCAAACGCGTTTAACTTCTAGTTATACAATTTTACTCAAATTGTCTTTGTATTAGATCGATGTTTACAAGTGGACTTAGGACTTATAAGTACCGTCAGGGCACACGGTCATTTTTTAGGATTTTTAGAAAATCGCAGAATTTTTATGTGGAGTTACATAAATATTATCCTGATAATTAATTATCGAAATGTACTCAAAACATGATATTTACACATTTATAAGAAGGTTAGCATATGGTTTACCTAAGAAACAAAGTAATTACATGTTAATTTCTAGTAGTAAAAAATAACAAGAATAAAGGTATCAGTTGCAGGCTCGTTTACAAGGTTTAGTATGCTTCATTTGTATACCAAAGCCTAGTTCTAGTTGTAAGATTTAAATTGTTAGTTATATTTACTGCAATAAACTCTCTAGCCTACAACAACTAGCATTTACGTAATGTATACCTGTAACCTAGTAATAGTCCATACTTCTGCATATAGTATAGATTTATAAGGTAAATTTTAATTAGTAAAAAGACAAGAGTGGGCCACTACGGCTATCCTAAACACATTGAGCTCACTTCTATTTATGAACTTTGCACTGTAGTGTAGACTTGTCAAAACAATCTAGTAGGCTACAATTATACTAGTATTACTAGTGGTTGCGTGCTGAATGACTAGGCTTTTGTTTGTTAATGCGGCTCATTTTACTAGCTATTGGAAGCTTCCAGCAAAAGCATGTTCATTCCGGCAACCGTTGCTACACAAGAAAGACCACAGACAAGATTTAGGGAGCATGATATGTCGGCAACTTTTGCTGTGTTTGAGGTCTAAGATGTGTTCTGATGGAAAATCCAGTAAAACTCATACTCAAAACATACTTTTGTGCTGTATTTATGTATGAAAATTACAAAAAGTGATTGCTATAATGATTGCCATGTTATTAGTTAATAAATTGTATCGTTTGTTCCTGTTTTGTAAAAAAAAAAAATTTGACAAAAAATGTCCTACATTCCTGACGGTACTTGTAAGAACCAATATACGTTTGAGCCATTAAAAATTTATGAAACGAAATTTCCTTCGACATATGCTTTGAATGTGCCAAAAGCAATATAGTAACACACTGTTTAAGTAAAAATTTCATTCAGAACATAATTCCGTAAATAAAGGTTTCAAGACTTATCTTAACCTTCTTGAAGTTGTGTGAGAATTTTTTTTTGTTTAGTTATTCCGTTTCCTCTCCGCCCCCCCCCCCCCCATTCCCACCTCATACAGCTGAGTAAAGATATTTAACATAATCAATTTATAAATAGGTGCATCTGTACAAGTAGGTAATGTTCTAGATAAGCTGACATACAAGGGACCTACAGTTTCCCCTCCTGCTAATATTGACATATAAAAGATAAGCAAAATTGTATTTAACGGGGCACACTTAACGAAAACAATTACCCTACGTTTCTAGACTGATCTTAGAAGTCAAATGTAGTAAGCCTATGTGAACAGTACATGCCTATCGCTGACATAGGCGACGATAAGTAGACAAGAAGTAGAATAAAGATCTACTTACGATGATTTTTTTTAAATGTGATACTTAGGGTACATAACATAACAATTATTTGGTTCGTAGTTTCAGTAATGTGCTTGCTGTTTTGCGTGTGTGTGTTATTTTAAATTCAACTAAAGTATTTTTTTTTATAAAGGCGCCACTATCCTAAAAATTTTCCTAGAGGGACCTGCAGTTCACCCTTGCTCCCTCACCTTCGTACGCTACTGTAATAATGGTATTGTTTTAATATATCAGATATGAAGGAGTATTGCCGGTCTGCAATATGTTTAAATATTGTTGTAATAATAAAAGAGGCTCATGAAAAGAGGAAAAAGCGTTAGATTATCAAGGCATGTCAAACGGTTAGGTTATTAAAATAAAATATAAAAATATTTTTTTCTAAAATAAACTTTATTAATTGGAGCATACTGGAAAAGGTAAAAAAAAAGGGTAGAAAAAGTATACTAGATATGATCAACTAATACAAGTATAAGTTTATAATATTTTATTAAACACGTTTGTTTAGGTAAAGATGAAAATATAATCTGTAGAGATGAACTACTGACTTTTAAATGTTTTTTAACCATACACTTACCTTGAAATGCCACCCTATTATTCCTAATGTATAAAAAAAATAGAAGTTTGGATCGAAATCTTCATTTTGCCAGGACAACTCCGCTCTTTCTATCTCTGTTGCCGTATCTGGAACTCCCGCGAGCTCAGGGGTACATTGGATTAATGTAAAGTTTGGATCTTGTACAATTGTGCTTTCTTCCACTATAGAGTGATCTCTAACTGTAAATATTTGGAAATGAAATGACAATGAACCTAAGTTTAAGCTCATTATAACATAAAAAAATTACAATTTTAAATATATATATATATATACATACATATATATATATATATATATATATATATATATATATATATATATATATATATATATATATATATATATATATATATATATATATATATATATATATATATATATATGTATGTATATATATATATATATGTCTGTATATATGTGTGTACAATAATGTAGGCCTACTTTGTTTTTAAATTTTTAAAAAAGGACACTCCGATTTATACAAAACTAATTACTAGTAGACATTAAGAAAAATCCAAATATATTTATCAAAGCAATTAAAATTTATGAATTTCTGTCTCTTGTATTTTCAGTGAACGTATTTGTTAAATGTTCAAAAATAATTGTTACGATTAAAGGAAAAAATGGAATAACCTAATAAAAATATATACCAATTTACTACTTATTATAAAATTTCAATTTCAAATAAACCGGGAGTGATCTCCCCTAAACTTTCTCGAATATTCTTATATAAAACAACAGGGGATGGGAACTCGGGCTATAGACATGATTTTTAATCCATTTTAAATACTTAAAGTTTTAAAAATAGAATAAAATCTCGTAGACAAATAAAATGCACACTAAGTGAACGCCAAATAAAAAAAAGTGCATAATAGTGCGCAATATTATTAGTACTTTAAAAATTTACATTAGTTTTTTTTTAGAAATCGGAAGTAGCGTAAATTACTACTTCCAGTCAACGGAAATTACTCAAAATTTAACAGAAGGTAGAGAATTAGATCTTTTACTTACATGTAAAATTTCATATATATATATCTGAAATAGTACTCAAGTTATAGGCTTTTGAAAAATTCAAAGTAGAAAAAGTACCACTTCCGTTTATCGGAAATCGCTCAAAAGTTGATACGGATCTACGATTTTGATAAAATACTTATATATGAAATTTCATCAATCTAGCTGTAACGGTACTCAAGTTATCGTGTTTACACACGGACACACACACACACAGACAGACACACAGACAAACGGACAAGATTGCAAAATTATGTTTTTCCGTATCCGTGAGGTGCAAAACGTCGAGAATTGTAAAAGTCTCGATTTTTTGGCACGATTACAGGACTTTCTCTATACTTCGTATATACGAGAAAGTAAAAAGGTATTTATATAAATTGAAATTTGAAAGAATAAGTACTAATATTATAAAAACGAGAACAATGGCCCGTTGAGGAAGGATACAACGGGCGCTAGGTTGATAGTGCTGTCTCTTTTCTCTAAACTAAATCCAAAACCAAAATCACCACCTTCATTCAATTTAACCGGATACAAAAAAATGACATTGAAAACGGATTTTTATCCGGAATCAGTACTTTAATTTATACAAAATATAATATAGTCATAGGCATATCCCTAAACCATGCACCTAATTTAATTCATGACAAAAGTCGCATTTAGAGTTTCTTTCAGGCAACTCTTTTGGGAGGCGGGGGAAGCCGCCCCCCCCCCCCCCGACACACACACCCAAAACATGTCTACCGTCCCAGTCAACGAAATATAATCATATATACTTTTTCCAGTGTACCCCCTTTCCCAGAAAATCCTACCCCCGCCCCCCAAAATTTCAAGTACCTCCACCCCTCTCCGGGGAGGAAAAAGTCTGAAAGAAACACTGGTCGCTTTTGTAGACCATGCAAACTAAAAGACGAACCTGTTCGGGGCTTCGCTTCTACCCGAAGAATCGCATGAAAGAAACTCTGCACGCAAACCACTTTTTAGATTAGAGACATGAATTAGGCTGTAATTTTATTATAGAGTATCAATGACGACATTTCATTTGAGTTTGGGGAGGGGGGGGGAGGAGGGGTCGGCTTAGACGTTCTTCCAGGGGGATGGGCTTTGCCCCTACCCGAAGAATTGTTTGAAAGAAACTCTTCACGCAAACCACTTTTAAGATTAGACAAAATTGGCTTTTCAATTTAATGTTTACTCGAGAATCAATGACGTCATATTAATGTGTGCACTCTCCGGCTTGAGATTATTTTCTGCTATATGCTCAATGTGACGTCATATTTCGTTTCCCTTTTACTATGAACGTTTTTACTTTGCTTGTGTTTTCTCTATAGCATTCTTGTCAGATACATAGATAGACAGACTGCGAAACTACTAGTATTGATGATGATGATAAGAAGGTTGACAGTAACAAAAGACACCCTAATAAAAGAGACCAACCTATAAAGTCCTCACAACGTTTGTAGGGCAGTTGTATTTTTCCGTCCATGCTGATGTAGCTAGAGCAGCAAAACTTGCCTTTGTCATCTGGTTTGATATTTATCACATCGAGTTCCAGCCTGACTGTGTCCCTATAAAAAAGTCCACGAGTGTTCTTGGGATAGTATCCAGAAGCCCTAGTTCGCCAGTGAGTGTTTACATCAATTGTTCTGCCAGTACCAAACTATACAAAGATTAAAAAATAACAACGGACAATGATAAACATACATGAATAAACATATTTCGATAAAATTGGTGCATTATTCTAATATCGTACAAAAACACACACACAAACATATATATATATATATATATATATATATATATATATATATATTATATATATATATATATATATATATATATATATATATATATATATATATATATATATATATAACCTATATCCTAACTGAGCAATCTAATCTACTTCATTGCAATATATAAGAGAGAGAACAAACCAGACAAATTTAGTCCTAACTCATCTTGGGCTAGAAATAATTATGACCACTAATATTCATGCTGGTCAAAAATATATAAAGTCGTAAGCTTATTCGTGAATGGTTTCTCGCGTTATGTTTATTTTTTTTCATTTTTGGCATATATAATATCAATTTTGAAAACATTGATTTTTATAGCTAAGTCATGGAATTAGTGTGAATGTTTGCCTACCTTTCAAACTATAGCTTTTGTAGATTTTAAAATATATTTGTACGCAACAATCTCTGATATAGTAGACCTGTTTTTTTTTATTTTACAAAACCACTTTCAAGATGCAAGAAAAACATAATTTTTGAAAAATAAAATTCAATGTTTTTTGGTCGGAACTGGGCCCCTAAACGTCCTGGGCCCCCCCCCCCCCCCCGCATTGCGGGGTCTGGCGGTATGGTAGTTCCGCCCCTGATATATATATATATATATATATATATATATATATATATATATATATATATATATATATATATATATATATATATATATATGTGTGTATAATCATATATAATTTTATGTTTTGCGTTTATGTTTATGTTTTCATTCATATGTGTTGTTCTTTTTGTTGTAATATTCAAGTATGATATATTCTGTTTAACAATTCACAACGAGTATGATTTCAAGATCAATTAAAACCTAAGTACCAAACGTATTTTAAAATGTGTACTTCCAGTCTACCTATATTACCTTGGTACTGAAGGAGTAATTGAATTTTTCATTCCAACTCAGCTCCATCGCAAAAATGCCTTCAATGATGCCTCCAGGGCTGCCATTTGGAGGGACACCGGCAAGATCAGAATCACAGAAAACATTAACATCTGAACCTTGCTTTATTATTTTCGGTACTATTGATTTATGTAATACTGAAATAAATCACATAAAGTTTTAATGGAGCATATATTGATTATTTTCTTTTATCGAAATGGCCGGCGAAACTCCAAAAAAAAAATTATTGAATTTAAGCGGTGAATTGAAATGAGATATGCACCCTTTTGCTGGTGCATATATATATAGAAGGAATCCCGTCCTCCGCGTCAAAGCGGTCTCATAATTTGAAACATTCGAGGAAACAAGTTATGATAATATTCAATGTGTATTTGATTTGAAAGGTATAATTCGTTTAAAAATGAAAATATGATACGATTCAATATATCTACTTTTGTCATTATATATATATCGATGAGTATTAAAGGTGTATTTTGATACTAGTGATCTCATTTTCTGATTAGATAATGTAAAAATTAAAAGCATTAAATGGGCGAGAAGTGGCATATGGGTAGTAAGTGAGTCTTTTAAGAAATGTGTAACAGTCATGGATCGTGGAAGATTATGACCACAAAAATATCTGAATAAATAAAAACTCAACCAACAAATGAAATTCTTCCAATAAAATGAAAACTAAATTTGAGATTCTAATGGGCTTGTTTAGAAGTGGGACATCTTATCCATTTTGTCATCAAAATGAGTTTGTGATACAATTGAAAATGTGTTTAAAAAACGTTAAAATGAACACAAATTATACACAAATAATTTAGTTGCGTCATAAAGGGAATTAAAAAATTATGCTAAAAATGTCGACTCTATTCAAAGGATTGTGAAGATACTAAATAATGTTTCATGGAAATCTCTTTACAGCTTTAACTCACAAACTGCTGGCGCAGAAGAAAAATATTGACAAAGTTTATTTTTTGCTGGCACATGTACGTTTTGGTCCAAAATTAACGAAATATTTCACTATTGAAATTTTGCTTTATCAGACAATTTCACGACTCTCCTCTATTTGTATCAGCTAACGTTAGTATGATGTGTATGCACAGATTAGGGCTAAAGCAAAGTAAATTATCATAAATCAACTTGAAAAGTCTATATAATCATACTAAATAAAGTTAATAGAAGTATGTAAGTTCAATAAAGTTAGCTAGGTTAAGTAAGGCTACATTTTGAAATTTAAAAATTAGATTTAATTATTAATAGTTTTCAAATCAATACATTTAATAATATACAAAATTTCAGTTTAATCAGATCTAGTGCAGCAGTGTTATTATAATTATTTTAACCCTGTAAAAATAATAAAAAATAGAAATAACAGAATCGAAGAGTAATTGTTAAGAGCTGATTTATTTTGGATCTTCTTAATTATTTTAATATATTACTTTGTATACTCATAGTCTAATGTAGTGATGTTTTAACTCATAAAATACAGGAGATTTGTTAATAGTCAGTAGAGCCAAAAAGTGTCAATAGTCGTAGATATTTTAACTTACAAATTCAATAAAATTATCGAACATTTTTTTAGTAGAATAGTAGATATATGAATTGATAATAGTTTAAGTTATCCAGTTTGATTATCACTTTTCAACCAATTTAGAGGTGGATAAATATAAGTAGCAAATCTTTATTGATTAATTTTTTAATGAAATTAATATACTACTTTTGACGTGTTATAGGGTCTACGACAAATTCCCGGAAGACAATTGTCCGAAAGCGATTGTCCTGAAGACCGCTTCCCAAAAGGACACCTTCATCTCATAATCATAGGTTGAAAATGTCTGATCTGCTTTGCTTAGACATATATTAAAACAGTATTGTAAGTGTTGATATTAATTAGCCTTTAATTATTATTTTGATGGGGTATAGCCTAGTAGTTTATTTATATATTATAATATAACACCCCAGTCACTACAACACACTGAGTCAAATTTAATCAAAATTAAAAATAAAAGTGTTCGTCTATTTTTTACTATTTTGCTGTTAAGTATTTGTTTGAATGTGTCAAGCCTTAATAAATCTTGAAGTCATTTTGTATATATTCCACTAATGTAAAATATACTTTCTGGTAACAAACATATGGAACCATTTTCAAGTCTATTAAGATAAGCACTGATTGGATTTCTCGCATTTTCTGGCGAATATATTAATACTAATTTAATGCTTACATTATATTTAATACTGTATAGAATGACTGTATTGTTTGTTTATTGAACGTACCCTTATACGTATTTTAACTTAAGGTAGCGCTAGTTCTGTATATCTTATCACTAGGGTGAAAAGAAACTCCAGAAGAATTACAAAATGTTGTTGATTTGTTTAAGGGGATATTCTCCCGAGAAAAACGGGGAAAAAACCTTTTAAATTAAAAAGCCCTTTACATTTATTTGTGTATGTATAATTTAGGGTACTTAAGGAAAAATATTTGGATGTACCAGGGACTCTTCTGAAAATATGGTTGCCATGGAAACGGCGGCCATCTTGGAAAAAACTACCGATGTGGAGTTCTAAAATTTCCTAAAGTAACATATAAATCACCCATATAATCATTGATCTTTATTGTACTGACACCAATAGAGCCAGCTGGCTAATTTTTATAACCGAAAAACAACTAGACATATTTTTTTCAAATTTTCAAAAAAAAATTTGGTGAAATTCCATTGAATTTAGCATTATTTTCATTGGAACTTCGTCACACCAAATTTTGAAAATTAAAAAAAAAATATTTCTATAGTGATTTATGTTACAAAAACTAGCCAGCTGACTCTATTAGCGTTAGTACAAGAAGGATCAATGGTTATATAGCCGATATTTATGTTAGTTTATGAAATTTTAGAACTCCAGAAAAGGATGTTTTTTTCAAGATGGCCGCCGTTGCCATGGCAACCATATTTTCAAAAGAGTCCCTGATGCATGGAAATATTTCTTTACAAGTACCCTAACTTAGATATACACAAATGAATCAATAAAAGCTTTTAATTAAAAAGTTGGTTTTTTCTGGAGCCTACCCCCCTTTTAACGTAAAATATTTTCATATTATTTTTGTAAATAATAAGTGATTGTGTTAAAAACATAGGCTGAGCATTATGCCAGGAGTTTTTTGACATTTTTTGTGCAAGTTATCTTCGCTTTTCTTAGCCCTATTGGTACACATTATTTGTAAAAGTTCAACACTAGATCTAGATCTAGATTTAAATACAGTACAACAACGTCAACATTGGTAAAGTCTTGTCAAAGAATTGAAGACATACATTATGAGCTTACCTTGTGCTGATATGGACCAGACACACAGGAATGCTAATACTACCATAATCAGAGCCATGTTTGCTTGTTACCTATCGCTTCAATTTTATGATTAATTATGCTCTATGATTTCCGTTTTTTATCTTGAAGTCGATGACCCAATGCAAAGGTTTTAATTGCGCACCAATTTTATGTGTAACAAAAGGGTAAATGTTGGGTTGAGATAAAATCGTATTTCTAATATTAATAGAGATGCACACAAAACAATTGATTTATTTGGGTTTGTATGACTGATCAACGAGTTGCTTATAAACAGTAGAAAAATGCTGTAGTGGGCTTCCATATAAGACATCCAACTTGGACGGTGTGGGGGACATTCCGGCTTTTGGTACAACGAGTGGGGGGGGGGGGGGGGGCGTTGGGGAAGTTCAGAAAGTAAGATGACACGCTTGTGGTTTGCATTTTCAAACAATCATGTTTACACACAGGATTTAAGCTTTTCGGTGTTATTAAAACTTATTCTATAAATTGGTATAAAATAATTGATCAATTGGCTTATATTAATTGTTTGCTGATTACATTAGGCTTAATTTTTTAAATATTTACAAAATAAATCGCTGTTTTAAAAACAAAAGAGCAATATATATGATAAGTGTGGTTGTGGATGGATGAATATAACTTCATGTGTAGAAGGTCTGGATCTGGATTTTATATAAACATTTAGAGGGTGGGGGGGGGGGTGAGGGAACAAAAAGTGACATAGAAAATTGATCATCCAATAGTCAATTGATGACAATATCCGATATGGAATGCTAAGACAAATAGTAAAATAGTATTGTAAGTGTTGATATTATTTAGTTTATTTATGTAATATAACACCCTGTCACACCAACACACTTACGCTGTCAATCAAATTTAATATAAAAGTGTTCGTGTTTCTCGTATTCGAAGTATAGAGAAAATACTGTAATCGTATTGTAATTCCCTGAGTCGGGAAAACAGATTTGCAAACTTGTCCGTATGTCTGTGTGTATGTGTGTGTGTTTGTGTATCTAAGATTAATTTTATAAAAACGAAATGATATAAATTACTAGGGATACACATACAACAATTGATTTATTTGTGTTTGTATGACTGATCAATGAGTTGCTTGCAAACAGTAGGAAAAGGCTGTTGCAGTCGTCCAAATTAAACTCGTTGGGGTAGGTGAGATTCCGGCATTTGGTACATAGATGGGGGGGAAGGGTTCAGGAAGAATAATGGCATGCTTCTCCTTTGCATTTTTCAAAATTCATGATTGGAAACTGGATTTAAGCTTTTCAGAGTTATTAAAACGTATGATATAAATCGATATACAATAATTAATCAATTAGCTCTTATTAATTGTTGGCTGAGCAGATAAGGCTTACATATTTTCATCGCTGTTTTAACAACAAAAATAGCAATATGTATGGGAAGTGTGGTTGGGGATGAATGCGTTTAACTTTAGGTGTAGAAAGTCTGGATTTGATGTAAAAATTGAGAGGGGGTGGTCTGAGTGAACAAAACGTGACAAAGTATATTGACCACCCCATAGTCATGTGTTAAAAATGTCCCATCTGGATTGTTAAGACATATATTAAAATAGTATTGTAAGTGTTGATATTAATAAGCCTTTAATTATTATTTCAATGGTGTATAGTCTAGTCGTAAGTAGTTTATTTATATAATATAACATCCCTGTCACTACAACACACTGATTCTGCTAATCAAAATTTTAAATAAATGTGTTAGCCTATTTATTATTATTTTGCTAGTAAGTATTCCCTATTTGTTTGAATATTTCTTACTATAACGGGAAGTTATTATGTACATATTTTACTCATTAAAATATTCTTCTTTTCTTGAAAACAAGTAATTAAAAAAAGTCTAGTGACAATTTTAGCGCAATTTCCTTGTGTTATCTAAAAATAGCTCTGTCGTAGCGTAAATCAAGAGCAGGGTTAGTAAAACCATTGGTTAGTTATTAAAACGTTTTTTATTAATTTTTTTTCAGTATTTTACATGTTTTATTTACAATAGAGTAACAGGACTAAAAACCAATGCGCGCCCAGCTACCGAACGTGACGTCGCAGCCATTGAACGTGATGGCGCAACTATTGAACGTGATGACGCGTGTGGTGTGGTTGCATAAAATGCCTACTAATTCGGTCCAAATTTTAATTAATTAAAAAAAAAATTGTGACCAAACGAAAGGATATTTTTGAAACAATATTGCTGAAGAAAGTTTTCAAAAATATGCTTTCGTTCGGTTACAAAAAATTAAAAATTGTTATGGATAACATAAGGAAATTGCGCTTAAATTGTCACTAGACTTTTTATTAACTTGTTTTCCATTTATGCCACAAATTGTTTCGATTTCCGCTATTGTAAGACGTGTCACAAAAACTACTAAGTGTAAAATCTTCGTCTAATTTCATTATTATAAGCTTTTACTTTCTTCACAAATATTGTTTGTTTTTTATGTTTGTTAGGTTAAGTTAAGTTTGCCTGCCGTTGTTAATAATCTCGTAACTTTATTTATATTTTTCTCATTTGACAATGCAAGAATACATATTGTTTATTCAGATTAGAAATAAAAAAATTAATTTAATAATAACGTAATTCGATAATAAAAAGAGCGATACAAACAGCATGTAATAGCGATCACTCTATCAGCTAACCAAAGAAGGTGAACTCATTTGTTTAAGAATGATTGATTTTTTTTGCCTGAGTGGGGACAGTGGACCAGTTCTTTAAAAAATTCTAAAAAAAAATGTATTCATATAGTTTTTCAGTTAGAGAGTAACATAGCTCTGCCGTCCCTTCTCATCGTATAACTCTTACAACAAAACCAATGTAAACTTTTTAGGCTATACAATCACATCCAGCATGCAAACTTCAGGGTGCGGCCTGGTGTAAAGTGCTAGACTGTTAACCCGAAAGTCTCGATGTTCTAGTCCGGTTTCAAGTCAGCAGAATGTTCCTGAATCCACCAAAAAAATAAAGGCGGCACGAAATAGTGCTGACAACATTATCCCTTCATATGCCAAGAAAACATGTGGATTCTGCTGCATCTGCCCCATGTGTTATGGGCACAAACATGTTGATGATAGCGAATATTATTTAGACACGTACGGTATGCATTATAATACATTCAAGAATAAAAAACAAGACGTAAAATAATTAGAAGGGCACAATATGTTGAGCACTACTTTGACTGTGTTTCTAATATTACAGGACAAAAGTGTAGTACCACAACACCAAGACGTTCACTTCTTACATCTTAAATAATGATAGTAGCTAAAGTTAATCAAAACTTGATTTATTTGCATTTACAAATTTTAATGCTTTAATCTAATATTAAGTGTTTTTTTAAAGATGTTCTTTACGGTAGCGTTGATTGTTTTCAGCTAATTTGCGTGATCTTGTGTCCAGTGAAATTCAAAGCTTTGATGGTTAGGGCTTTGATGGATTCCTTATACAACACTATGAGATATCGCTAGTAGATAAGACTTCCAGGTGTTTAGTGGCATTGAAGCAAGGAACAAAAAAATTATTCACCTAAAATTTAAAAAGTAATTATAAATAATACATAATTTAAACGTGTATTTTAAGTTAAAAGATTAAAGATAAAAGAAGCTTTATACACAATTATTTACTGTTAAAATATATAACATAAGCCGCTAAGAAGTGTGTATGTCTTTCCGTTTGCCATCGGTATGACTGTTTTGTATTCTTTCCTATCCTTATTTTATATATTTCAAATAATTTACTACTTAATCGACAGTTTACTAAATAAAGTACGGTAATGTCATGTCTTGCTTGAATCGCACTGTCTTATTGAAAAAATTGTAGTTTTGTATTTACAGAGTTACTTTTCTACATACATTGAAAGATTTGATTTTATATGACATCCCAGTTGATATTAATTGAAACTAATTATATATATATATATAAATATTTATATATATATATATATATATATATATATATATATATATATATATATATATATATATATATATATATATATATATATATATACATATATATATATAAACATATATATACATATATATATATACATATATATATATATATATATATATATATATATATATATATATATATATATATATATATATATATATATATATATATATATATATATATATATATATATATATATATATATATATATATATATATATAATATTATATATTACCCCTATAAATGTGTAGCTGAATCCATGAAAACATCAGCAACCCTAAGATTAGATTTTCGGTAACTCTCTTGATTGAGCTCCCGTTTCTGGAGTGTTTTATGGCTTCAATACGTGAATCTATACACACGGAAATACATTTAGCTCCCATGATAAAGATTCATTAAACATTTTAATATAATAGGAAGAATATCACAAGAAGATGTGATCTTAGAAGACAATAATTTAATTTAATATTTGTGTTTAACTACAAAATAATACATAAAAGTGCTATAGTATATAATATTAAACTAGCCGTCAGCGACTAAAATTTGGTTCAGACATTTATAGGCATGTCTATGTATACTTGTATATGTTGTTTTCCATTATATCACACAATTTCCTTTTGAATTTTATTTTCTTAAACCAAACTACAGACAAAAATATAAATGGAAGCAAATGTTAATGCCGAAAAAATGATTTTCTTTTGTTTACTTTGAATATTATTATAACAGTGAAATATTGGTGGATCGTATCTTGGGAGTGTGTGTGTGAGATTGCATCCGGGAGACAGTGGCTGTGCGCATGCGCGAAAGGAAGGAGTGGGAGAAGGAGAGGCAAGAACATGGCGTAGCTTGAGTGAACACGCTGTCTATGTGAAAACAAAATAAATATGAAAAACTGCAAAAGAAGGCTTGTCTTTTGATTCTGTATGCGTAATATAAAAGGTAGGAGAAAAGCCTGTGGCAAGTTTATATCGTGAACCCAGTCACACAAAAAGCCTGTGACAATTATATATTTTTCTAGTTGTCTTAAAAGCTATTCATCTACATTCTTTGATGACATCATAGATAATAAGGTCGTGTTGCATTATAATATTTTGATTAATGTAAA